CTTTCCCTGCTTTATTTTCCACCATGGCACTTACCTTTTATCATACTACATTATTTACATAGTTAGCTCATTTATTGCAATTCCCATGGCCCTACTTCCACTTCTAGATGTAAAGTCCATAAGAGAATGGTTTTGTTTGCTTTGCTCACTGTTGCATCTACAGAGCCTAGAACAGTGCCTGGCATATAGTAGACGTCAAAAATATTTCTCAAATGATAGCTGAATTCCAGCATCAGCAGAGCACAGTACTTAAATGCATAGACTCTGGCAATAGATTTCCTGGGTCCAAATCTCAGTGTTGACACCCACTGACTCTATGACCTAAAAGCAAGCTACCTTAAGCTTTCTACACTTAGGATTCCTCATGTTTTATGCAAATAAAAATAATGTCTTCCAAACCAGAGAGCCCTTGTTAAATATCACCTCCACCACTCACAAGCAGTGTAGCCTCTTAAATGGGTCTATGCCTCACTGTGCTCAACTTAAACTGATCGACCAGGGCCCTGGGGATGCAGAGAATCTCCCTTCAGTTAGTGGCTTACGAGCCAGGGACAGGAACCAGACCTCGCAGGAAGGGTCTGGAAGGCTAGGGCGAGGTGGGATGGGGTGACAGGGAGCAGCGCTGAGTCCCAGGAAAGTGATCAATTCAGAGACAATCCTGGGGACGGGCTCGGGCATGGTGGCTTGCCCTCCCTAAGCTTTTGATGGGAAAAGACCTAGAAGCTTAGGCTGAGAAAAGGAACGAAAGCGGAGAGAAAACCTCCCCTCACCCATCTGGGAAATGGGCTCGGGCCAACTGCTGACTCTGCGCTGGCTGGCGCAGCTCCCCGCGGAACCCTCGGCGGGGAGGAAGGCCGCGAACATCTGGAGGACATTTCTGCGAGAGGGGCTGCAGAGCGGGACTCCGGGAAGGGAGAAGTGCGCTTGTACGCACGTCGGGCCGAGAAGGAGGCTGTTCCCCAGGGCACTCGGTCTTGTTTTCCTCGTCCTCTTTCGCGGCCCCTTCTCCCCAGGCCCCCAGTCTCACCCCCCCACCCCCGGCCCTCCCGGCCTTCCCAGCTCCGACCCGCGGAACCTCCTTCACTGGCGGCCTCGCCTCGCCAGAGGGCACCCTCGATCTGCCGGAAAACGCCACCATTTTTCAATGCCCCTGGAGCATCTCCAAGCTTCCGCGAGCCACCCGACTCCAATCTTGTCAATGAAGAATCGGGGCCAGGATAGCCGCGGGGCCGAACCCAGTTCCAACCCCGCTCCCAGGCCGGGCGTCAGCCCCACCGAGGGTGGGCACGGCCGCCCCTGCCCAGGCCCCGCGCGCTCGCCGGCCCCTGCCCCGTGTCCCGCCAGGCCCGGGGGGCGGCCTGGACTGGGGGCCTGGGAGGGAGCAGAGACGCGCCGAGGAGAGGACGGACTGACAGCTGGCGAGAGGGCGAAGGAGTTGGGGTAGAAGGAGGGAGGGGATTCATCGGAGTAACTTTCCAGAAAAACAGTCAACGTGTAGCAGGAGTGACTCCAAGAGGGTAAAAAAAGTTCAGTTACCACGTCGATCGAGAGGACTCGCGAAGTATTTTTCAAATGGGCTCGGCTTTTCCTGTGCCTGTTTAAAACATTAAAATCGTGCCGCAAGAGAGGCTGCGTGCGCTGGTCCCTCCCCCACCCCTCCCCC